ATGTTCTAGGTTCACAGTTGAGTTCATACAGTTATACAATACTGAACTCAGTATAAGCCCTGTAAGACATAGAATTGAATGAGTTTTTTAACCTTTAAAAAGATCTCCATTTCATTTTAGAATATATTGTTCCTTGAAGAAAGACTCATTTTTTTTTCCTACTAACACTGAGATGTTGCTGTTAACTTTTTTTAAAAAAGAAAAATAAATACCAGTGTACCATAATTTGGCTAAATACATCGGTGTATTCAGTGGTATTTCCATTTTTCTGTCGGAAACCAGGCTTGTGATAATGATTTGTTGAGTTGCTGTTGGAACTCCACAGTATTCCAGCTTCTCTTTGGGGGTGTCCTGTGGTATTCAAGGATCAAATTGCCTGAAATACCTCTCAGCATCTGTCTATAGGGAACCAGTCCTCCATTCAGCCTAATAATGTCTTCCAGACCTGAAAGGTAACCTCAGGGCAGAAGCCAGCCCCTCAGACTGTAGAGATCTGGTATCACCCTCCCATCTGAGCAACAGGCACCTTGATACGTGGGGGGGGGGGCTGGCTTTCAAATCTTCAGTTTCAGAGGCAGTAGACACAGGAGGGTGGCTGCCTCTACCGACATTGAGCTGGACACTTTGTCCATAGAACAGAACAGCATTATGGAACACAGAAGTGAACTCATGTCCTCGGAGGATTGCGTTAATCTGCCCTTCCCCTCCAAATTCCAGGGTTTGCTGGAGCAACTGCAGCCCACAGCTGACAAAGCCTATGAGTTCTTCACCAATTCCCCTCCAGGTGGCAGCTCTGAATTGCAAAGACCCGGTCTGGAGCATGGGAATGATTCTGGCGGTGCTACCGGTGGCCTGGTGAAGCACAAAAATGCTTCAGATCTGAACTCCTTGGGGTGGAGGGGCGCGCAGATTCTTAGGACCCAGCCAAGAATCCAGCCTGGATTTAAGCCAAAACCTCTCCCTACACCTCTAGGGAGCAGAAATCCCACAATCCATGCATACAGAAATGTAGGCTGGCAAGAAGGCTCAGTGGGTAAAGGCACTTGCTGCCAAACTTGACCACTGAGTTTCACACATGGACCCACATGGTGGAAGGAGAGACCTGACTTCCCCAACTTCTTTGTTTTGTGTTTTGTTCTGGTTTTGAGACAGAGTCTGCCTGTAGTCCCAGCTGGCCTGGAACTCGCTCTGTAGAACCGGCTGGCCACAATGTCACAGAGATCTGCTTGCCTCTGTCTCCCTAAGTCTGACTCCCCTAATTTGCCAAACCTTTCACTTGAGTTGGATCTCATAGACCCATAAGGTAGAAGGATAGAATGACTCCACGATATCTTAGACACACACACACACCGTGACACACCCCACCCCACTAAATAAGTAAATGATAAATAAATAAATAAATAAATAAATAAATAAATAAAGTAATTTAACAGGTTTGGTTTCTTAATGCTTGAAGCGTAGCACAAGCCCGTGTATGCTTCTGCAGAATCCCAGGTTGGAGTTGCATCTAGGAACGCCTGTGCGGGATCCAGGACATCCAGAAACCAAGCGGCATGCGGTATGAGCGCGTGTGGGCAGGCGCCTGGAGGGCGGTGCGGAGCGCAGGGCGGTGCCCTGGCACCGACGTCGCGCGTGCGCAGCCCGGCTCCGGGCCATGGCTGGCTGGGCCGGGGTTGCGCTGTCGGCGCTGAACCCTCTGCGCACGCTGTGGCTGGCGCTGGCCTCCTCCTTCCTGCTAACGTTGCTGCTTCAGCTGGCGCCGAAGCGGCTACTGCCGAGCTGCGCGCTCTTCCAGGACCTCATCCGCTACGGCAAGACCAAGCAGGCCTGCCCGCCGCGCCCCGCCATCTGCCGGGCCTTCGATGTCCCCAAGAGGTAACCGCGGTGGCGGGGCGTGGCGGCCGGCAGGGGGCAGCGGAGGCAGTGCTGCCCGGGGCCTCTGGACCATGCTCTGGCGGCCGCCTGGAGCCTTCCCAAGTCAGGCCTGGTCCCCTGGCGGCAAGCCCGGCTTCTTAGTCCGGGATTCTCCACTTCCCTTCCCCAGCACTGTGATGGGCTTGCTGTCCAACTTGACGTCCCCGAAGTTCGTAGACGTGGAGGCAGGTCCTCCCTTGGTGTCCCCATTTGTCTCCCCGACCCCTCGCAGTCAGGACAGAGGACGAGGTGGTACCGTCCTTTGGCCGAGCTGACATACGTAACCCACACCTCAGCAGGTGTGCTGGCCAAGGTAGCCCAAGATGCCCCATCGTGAAGCTCCATTTGGTAACCAATTAGTGTTGGGAAATACTAAGATCATCTGGGCGCAATTAGAATTCACTCAGAATTTGTGAGGCTTGTTAGGGTACGCCCTTCCATTCCTCCCCCATACACCCCATTTTGGATTCAGTAGATAGGAAATCGGTTAAACACTATTCTAGATGATAAAGCCATCTTAAATTTGTATTTAGAAATGACTGTGAAGGGATGTTCTGATGGACTAAACATATGAGTTATTTTCAAGGTCCATAAGACAGTGTCCACTTCCACACACAGCAATGGGACTATCAAGAGGTATTTTTAAAACAGACAGCCCCCTGCTTTTGACTGTAGGAGAAAGATTTGTCAGGTATTAACTTTGAGAATGGAGAACCAGGGTGTTGTGAAGAGTGACTGGAAAAGGAATAAAGGGAAGACGTGCTAGTTTCCTGTTCCCTGGCAGCTCAGTTTTTAAAACATAAACAAAATTGCCTGTCATTCTATTTTAATCAGGTTTAATTGGAGTATAGCCTTTCTGCTTTATAGCAATTTATTTTCTGATTTTTGAGAAAGGTCTTAGTGTTCCTGTATTAAAAAGCAAACTTAGGGACTGGAGAGATGGCTTAATGGTTAAGAACACTTACTGTTCTTTCAAAGGACCCAGGTTTGGTTCCCAGTATCCACATGACAACTCACCACTGCTGGTAACTACAGTTGTGGGAATCCAGAACCCTCTTCTGGCCTTTGCTGGCTCCTGCACACATGTGGTGCACATAAATTCACTAAGACACACATACATACACACACACACACACACACACACACACGTGCGCATACACGCACACACCCACAAATTGAAAATATTTTTGATTATTAACCTTTAATGGCTGTGCCATTTCTCCAGTCTGAAAGTAAATATTTTTTAAATTTTTATGTGTATGAGTGTATTACCTGCATGTATTAAGTGTACCCATGTCATGCAGTGCCCTCAGAGGTAAGAAGGGGCATCAGATCCCCTAGAACTAGAGTCATGGGTGCTTGTTAGCTGCCACGTGGGTGCTGGGATTGAACTTGTGTCCTCTGCAAGAAAAGCCAGTGCTTCTAACCACTTAGCCAACCCTCCAGCCCTTGAAAATAAATACTTAAAAAAATCATTTCCCACTTTTTCCTCTCTCTGGATTGGGCTCTGTAGATGTCATATGTTGGTCTTTTGTTATGTAACAATCAATAAAGAGAGGGCCTTCCCTGTATTCATTCCTATAATAAATGGTACTCTTTGGGCTTCTTATAATTTCTACTGTATTATGAAATATTTTTTTTTCCTTTCCTTCTTCCATAATGTTAGAGTAGAATCTCCCAAGTGCTCTGAGATGATGGTGGTTATTGTTTATTTCTCTAATTTGAAATTTTTTCAGTACCAAGGAAGATAAATCCAGGCCAGTAATCAAAGGCATTTTTATTGAGACAAGTTAAAAAATGGGGGCCACTTGCATCAAAACTGGCAAGGTCCCTAGGTAAAAAAAATCATCTTCCTGCATATTATTTTCCTTTTAAATTGTTTCCCATTTATTTGAAAAGGGATACAAGTTGGGTAGAGTAACAGTCTCTGGTCACCTTTATACTTCTCTGTATTTTCCAGTGTCTTCACTGGCAATGCACTTATCAAATAGTAAGTTAAAGGCCTGGGAACAGCAGGTCAATAACCACCACCACAGCTGAGGGCACACGTGTCATATGCTGGCTCCTCCCAGCACTTAAATGCCTTTCTTCGTTTAGTCCTCACAACAGACCTTGAGGACATGCCATTGTCATTATTCCCATCCACAGATATACAGACTGAGGCTTATCATAAGTAGGTATGGTGGGTGGAATTGGAACCCTGCCTGTCAGAATTAAGATCCCAACTCCTAACCCCCAGCATACCTCACTGGAAAATCTTGCATCATGCAAAACTGGGTCATGTCTGAGAGATCAGATGACAGAAAGCAGCACTTTAGAATATCTTGATTAATCCTGATTTGAAACTATTTGTTAATTCGTAGCCAACATGTTTTTACTTAAGTATTTTAGGTGTTTTTTTTTTTTTTTTTTCTTCTTGTGCAAAATGTAATAAGATTCTTAGGGATGAAAATAAACCTGTGATTTCTATACTTACAAATAGGCAGCTGCAAATCACATTTCTACATTCAAGGTACTAGTTAGGTAACTTTGTTTATAATTATTTTTGCCTGAGGAATTAAGAGTAAAACCTTAGTCAGTTTCTGGAATGTTGGTTTCCATTGCCCCAACTTGGTAGTGTTTTCATTATTTTACTTGTTTTGGGGGTTATTTGTTTTAAATCAAGGTGATAGTTGCTTTTCTTGTTTTGATTCCTTGGGTTTCTATTCCCAGAAAGTCTGAATAGATGGATTACTAGGACCAAGTGTCATAGCACTCTTGATGTATAGTACCTAGAAGCACTTCTGTTTCTAAAATTTCAAAATGGCTCCAAGTGACATGGAAGTCAAATGGCTGAACTGGACTTTACAGGTCAGACCCTACCTAGGTTTCTCCCTTAGAGTCTAAGGGCCTCAGAGGCAGGTCAGGGGATCTGTGGACTGGAAGCAGGTTGTATCTTTGTCTTATCAACCTCTTGCTGAAAGTTAGTATTACCTTAATTATGAATGTAACCCACAGACAAATAGCAATATCTCCAAGTTTGTGATGGATTGTAGTGTACTAAAAACATTGAAGACATTTTGAAGCAATATTGTTACCATCACCATGAAAACATTGTAGTTCTTTGCCACTAGATCTCATTATTTGATACATAGAAATGCACGAATTATTTATAACATGAACTTGATTTTTAGAAGTTGAATTACTATAGGTTCATCTTCTCCGTTTCTTCTGTGTATCTTTTGCTGGTAGTGGCATTTTGAGAAGGGCCTAGAGCCTTGGCCAGGCATTACATCTGTCATCTGTTGCAGTACCACAGCTCATTCCTGGGGTCAATAAAACCCTCTCATCAGAATGTTTGGAATGAAGGATAAGGGTTGATGGTTCAGTTGATTTGTTGGCTAAGGTGAGTTTCTAACTCTGCAAGTAACTGAGTGAACTATTTACTGTGTCCTTGATGCATTTCACTAACCAGTTTTTCCAGAGTGCTTTTTGTGTACCCTAAAGCTACTCTAAGCTCCCTGAAGCAAACAGACAGGCAGGAAAACATGTAAGCAACTCTTTAGAGAACAAGCAAAATATTTTCATGGGGAGATAAGTGCTCAAGATGAGATTCAGCAGGGTTATTTGACTGTGAGCAAGAGTTATGAGGTGGTGAGGTGGTGACCTAGGAGGATGGGGGGAGATTGAGAGAGCCTCTCCACAGGGCCTCAAGGCAACAATGGGGTGGGAGCTTGGGGGGGCAGGGGGGGGGATGTGGAACTGATGAAGATTTTGTGATGAAGGTAAACTATTGCTTCATGGAATGTGTTTGAAAAGGATGGTGCCATTGTGTGGGAAGGACTGGGGAAGAGGCCGCTGTGATAGTCCAGAAAAGAGATGGTGGTGCTCATGTGGATTAGAACCGGGGCACCATCAAAGCCCTTAGCCCAAGTTCCCTTCCCTAATTAATCCTGCGATTTTCCTAACTGTTCCCTGGGGCTGGTTGTAGCACTCAGCACACATGCGTGTTAAATTAGATAGGTCATGCTTCCTGGGCTCCAAGCCAGAGTAGTTCCAACCTACTTGGAGTACAAACCCAGGACACTGTATGATCTTGTTTCCCTACTGATCTTTCACCTTATAAATTTTTCTTCCTACCTCTATTGCAGTTCAAGGTCTTCTCTGCTAGTCTTCTGTCCCACCTCAAGGCCTTTATACTGCCTGTTCCCTCTACATATAAAACTTTTCTCTTACTTGGCTCGTGGGTAAGAGCTTAGATATTAGATCTGTAACAAGGCCTTCCATATCTATCTTGCTTACAATAGTTCCGTAATCCCCAGCAGCCTTTCTTCCTCTTCCCTGCTTTAATTTCTCCTTAGCAATGACCGAGGCTGCCATGCTGTAAGATCTATGTGTGTGCCTGTGTGCCCACACACTCCATGACCATAAAAATGGTTGCTTGTCATGCTTACTGCTGTACCTCCAGGCCCTAGAGCATTCCATCATGACTCATAATAATCACCCAAGTGGTTGTCAATCAAAGGAGCACCTATACCAAGCCTTCTACAGTCGGAAGGATCACTTTGTCCTTACTCCCAGGACTTGGAAAGCAGCACTTCTAGCAAACAAGTTGCAGAAGGAAGAAAAAGGAGTGTGTCTTAACCCAGAGGCAGTGGGGATTTTAGATCTGCATTTTGAGTCTTAGCTGGGTCTTTAAAAATACAAGCAAGAGAGGCTAAAGAGATGGCTCAGTGGATAAGAGCACTGGTTCCTCTTGCAGAAGACCTGGGTTTGGTTCTCAGAACCCACATAGCGACTAGCTGTCTGTAACTCCAGTTCCAGGGGTTCCAATACCCTCTTCTGACATCTGTGGGCATTTTGTCATGCAAGTGCACTTAGCTACATGCAGGCAAAGCATTCATACACATGAAATGAATGAATGAATGAATGAATGAATAAGTAAATAAATACAAGCAAGAGCAATGGCCTGCAGTAAAGACTAGGAAACGTCTTTCCTGTAGACAGATTCAGAAAGCAAAAACAAAATGAGGGGGAAAAAATAACCACAATGTGTCTTTAAACCAAAAGTACCATGGAACCAGTAGAGCCCTGCAAGGTGTGGCTCAGCAACTCAAATGAAACAACTAATTCCCTTGACTTTAGACTTAATGTAAATTGGCTGTGTATGATTTAGGGTCAGAAAAACAAGTTCTAGCAAGCCTAGACTGCAGGCAAGAGAGCAACAATGTGATAGAAACTCCAGAGTCATCCAAGCTGAGTCTAGAGCCAAATGTGACCTTGGATAAGAAACTTAACCACTATTGAGCCTTAGTTTTTCCATCTGCCACATGAAGATGACAAACTGTAGAATTGTTATGAAGATGAGATTTCATAATCTTCACTCTTCTCCCAGGCTCTTCACTACATCCTTTAGGCTACAACTAAATATTCTTTACAACAGATAGACATTTTATTTTTTTAATACTTTATTTATTATTTTTATTTTATGTGTATGCGTGTATTGCTTGCATGTAGGTAAGTGCACCTGTGTCATGCAATGCCTGGAGAAGACAGGCTGTCAGATCCCCTGGGACTGGAGTCACAGACAGTTGTTAGCTGCCATGTGGGTGCTGGGATTCAAACCCGGGTCTTCTGCAAGAACAGTCAGTGTTCTTAACCACTGAGCCATTTCTCCAGCCCTACAGATAAACATTTTAAAACTTAAGAATAGAATAGATGGGAGCTGGACAGATAGCTCAGTAGTTAAAAGCACTGGCTGCTCTTACAGAGGACCTGGATTCAGTTTGCCACACCCACATGATGGCTAACAATCATCTGTAACTACAGTTCCAGGGGATTCGATTCCCTCTTCTGGCCTCTTCATGCACCAGGCACTCACATGGTGTATATACATACCTGTAGGCAAAACACTCATACATGTAAGATAAAGCAATCTTAAAAAAAAAAAAAAAAAAAAAGAATGGAAAAAATGAATGATGCTCTTTCTGAAATGTTTTGTTTATATTTTTCTGAATTCAGGCACTCATGACATGGACTTTACAGGCTGACCCATCTGGAGCACTGCTCAGGGGCTTTGAGTACATTGGCTGCCTTATGCCATTACCACTGTCAGCCCCACAACTTTGTCATCAGCCAGTGGGGTTTTTAAATTCAGTTCTGACCTCACATGACTCCATTGCCTAAGTGACTCCCCATTACAAAAGTCAGCATCTTCCAGGGCCTTCTGTCCTCTGCTCCATTCCCATGGGTAATGCCACACAGCCACAGGATGCCCTATGTTGCACTGGCATACACCCAGCCTGCACCCATCTCAGGTAGATGTTTCCTTTGCCTGCGAAGTTCTTCCCTTTGAAGTGTGGAAGGCTATCCCAACCACTTAACCCAAAACAGCATCCCTGCCCCCTCTGTCCCCTTAACCAAGCCTTATGCTAGATGCCTGTAGCCTTAGCTGTTGGCTGGCTCCTCACTGACAAGTGAATTCCATTAAGGCAGGGACCAGGTCTGTTTATTCCCTGGAGTCCAGACCCCTAGAACTTGACCCAGCACATTCCAAGTGTGCCCTAAATATTTGTGAGGGCCAAAAAAATAAGGTAAAGCAGCTGACCCAGAAGCTGCTTACCAGAAGCCAGCCTTTCCTTTTCCTCAGAGCCTGCAGAGCAGAAAGTTCTTAATCTTCTCAGCCCATGCCTGGTTCAGTTCGGGGAAGTGTGACGTGGAAGAGGACTGAGGCCAAGAGCCATGACGGCAAATAGCCATGGTGCATGAACTTGGAGAAAACAAGACCTCTCTTCAGATGGCTTCTGAGCTGCTGTGTAGATTAAAGCTCATCTGTGGGACCAGAGAGGGTGATTCTGGTGGGATTTGCTTGCTGCAGTTAGAACAAAGTAGGGTGCCACAAGACAATTGGATTAGATCAGAGTTCATCACACTGTGTTTCTGGGTGTGGGTGAGTGGGATAGAGCTTTGAGTTCTCTTGCAACATATTCTGGCCCATCTGGAGAGGCCTCTGAGCTTATATTTGAGCTTCTTTTTGGCTTGTGGTCATTTTTGATTATCAGACCAAAGAGAAAAGAAGAGGAACTTGTTATTGAGAATGAAAGACCAGGGAAGGTCAGAGGATCACTGGGCATCCAGGAATCAGAAAGGTTTTGAATTGATTTGAATGGAGCAAAGTCCAAATTGAGCATCCCTAACTCAAAAATATGAAATGCTCCAGTATCCAAAACTTTTCATACTGATACAACCCTCCAGATAGAAAGTCTTCCACATCTGACCTCACGTGATCAGTAATAGTCAAAATGCAGGTGCATTAAACAGTGTTGTGTAAAGTTACCCACATGATGGCTGTGTGTAATTACCTACCCTCAGCATATGTGTAATAAGATGTGTATGAAACATAAGTGAATTCTGTGTTTAGATGTGGGTCTCAGTCTTCAAGATCTCTTATCAGTGTATATGTGAATATTCCAAGCATTTTAGATAAGGTCTACTCCATCTGTGGTAGGAAAAGGATAGAAGAATGGACCTCCAAAGAACCCGAGAGGGGCCTGGGGAGATGGCTCAGTGGGAAGAGTGCTTGGTGTGCAAGCATGAGGATCTGAGTTCAAACCCCTAATGCCCATGTTAAAAGAAAAAATAATGTGGCTATGCTCAGGCCTGTAACTCCAGCTACAAGAAGGGGAGAGAAGGGGTGTGGAGACTAGAGGATGGTTGGGTCTTGCTGGCTGCCAGTCTGACAACAGTTTCAGTGAGAGACCCTGTCTCAAGGGAATAAAGTGGAAAGTGATGGAACAGGCTACCCAGCATCCTTCTCTGGGTCCCACATTCACACACATGGGCATGCTCACCTGCATACATATGTGTATAGAGTGTACACACACACGCACACACACAAAGAACCTGGACAGTTCTCATGCCATATTAGATGATTAGGTTTCAGCAAAACAGCATCATCTGTTACATTAAGTTAGCATTGCTAATTTCATTTCATTGGCTTTTGTTTTTAACTTTGTAAATATATTCACTATAAAATAAGCTCATAGGCTCAATAATTGTCTAAGAAATATAACCATAAGGAGTTGATAGCTAGCCTTATAATATTTGTCTTATTATAATAAACTTAATGGAGGTACAAGGAAGATGGTTCAGTTGGTAAACTGCCTTCCCCACAAGCATGAAAACGAGTTTGATCCCTAGCACCCACATAAAAGCCAGTCACAGTATATGCACTTGTCATCCTAGTGCTAGAGAGGATCCCTGGGAATTGCTGGCCAACCATGCCAGCTGAATCTGCAAGATCCAGGGTCAGTGAGAGATCCTGTCTCAAAAACTAAGGTGGAGACTGAGCTTGGGGGAGAGCTCAGCAGGTAGAGGGACTTGCTGCACAAGCCTGGGGACCTAAGTTCATTCCCCAAATGGATGGAGAAAACTAACTCCATAACATTGTTACTTGCTGCACAAGCCTGGGGACCTAAGTTCATTCCCCAAATGGATGGAGAAAACTAACTCCACACACACACACACACACACACACACACACACACACACACACAGTAATTAAGGGCAACACAGTCCAGAAAACCACTAGATCATAAAACCTTGACAGTTTCTCCCAGCTGAGTCTGATTGTACAACAGTCCAGTGGCTAGCTGTTACTGCAGTGCCAGTCGGGATCCAAAAGCCTTTCACTGATTTCATTGGCTTTAATGTGCTCTAGATTCTGTGCAGAGACCTGTGGCCCCTTGGGTGGACTTGGTAGCCAATCATGTTACCCAGAGATGAGAGATTGCTAGCTGACCCTCAGTCTAAGTTAACAAGGTCAGCTGTGTCCTTGTTAACCCCAGGTAGGACTCTTTTTCCCTCTAAGTTAAAAAGTTTCATGACTTGGAAGTTTTGAAAATCTGCATAGGTACAGAATGCAGGTTCTTTTTAAAACCCAAACTCTTTGAGTTGCGGGGGACAGAGGAACTTAGAATCTTCCTGGGACCTGAGGCAGGAGTACCTGATGGTTGCCTAACTTTTTCCTTTTGCAGGTATTTTTCTCACTTCTACGTCATCTCGGTGCTGTGGAATGGCTTCCTGCTTTGGTTCCTTACTCAATCTCTGTTCCTAGGAGTGCCTTTTCCAAGATGGCTTCATGCTTTGCTCAGAATTCTTGGGGCTGGACAGTTCCAAGGTAATTTGGCCCCTTGCCCCTCTGCATCCTGTTCTCAGTGTCTGGCCACAGGGGAACAAGGCCTGCAATGCTCACCCATCAGGCCCCTCAGCAGGGCCTGGGAAGTGGGGGGCAGTGAGAGGAGGTTTGCATGATTCATCATCCCTCATTCCTCACTGAGGTCGTGGCAGAGCCCAGGATCGGGCTCAGCTCCTGACAGATCTCAAGCCTGTGCTGTGTGCAGGACTGGCTGCTCTCCTCTAATATTTTTGGAATGATTGATAAGTTTATGAAGTCTTCACACATGCTGAGGAAGTCTTTGGAGCCCCTCAGGTTTGCACTGAAACATTTCTCATTTCTACAGCTCTAGCCAAAATCATGTCTTACAGATCACAGAAATTTAATTTTAAAAATTACTTTTTGGTAAACATTTTTAAACGTTTGGGGACTGGTGAGATGGGTCAGCAGATAAAGGCTCTTGCCTTGTCTTGCCTCGAGGCATGGTAGTATGAGTTTGATCCCCAAGACCCACATGACAAAGGAGAGAACAACCCCACAAATTATCCTCTGACTTCCTCATGTGTACCATGGGCATGCGCGTGTGTGCGTGTGTGTGCGCGTGCGCACACACACACACATACACACATAATAAATAATTGTAATAAAAATTAAACCAAGAAAAGGTTTAATATGTTGTGAGGCTTCAGTTATATAATAAAATAGTGACTCTTGTTGGTCAGATCATTATGAAATAGCACTTAAATTTGTCCCATTAGTAAATAAAGGATATGCAGAAGTACTGTGAGTTTGGGGAGTGAGTTTTGTTTTTCTGGAGGACTTTGTGCACATGTGTACATGTGTGTGCACATGCACGTAGAGGCTAGAGGTCCACTTCAGGTGTCAATCCTTAGGAACTGTCCACCTTATTTTTGAAGACAGGGACTCTCATTAGAGTAGGCTAGAGTGGCTAGCAAGCCCCGGAGATCCACCAGTTTCACAGCTTCCCCAGTACTATACTAGGATTACAAGTGTGCCACCACCACACCATGCTTTTTTTTTTTCAAACATGGGTTCTGGAGATTGAATTCAGATCCTCAGGCTTGGGCAGCAAACATGTTACCAACCAAGATATCTCCGCAGCCCTGTTTTTATATTTTGAGCCAAGGCCTTGCTATGTAGCCCAGGCTATCCTCAAACTATCTAAACCAGGTTGGCCTCCAACTCATAATCTTCCTGCCTCACCTTTCAAGTGCTGAGATTATGGGTTGTATGTAACCACATCTATAATCTAAAATAGTGTTAAATAATTAGAGCCAAGCATACCTGTAGCCCCAATTATTCAGAAAATTGAGGTAAGAGGATTGTTTGGGCCCAAGAAATCAAGACCATGATGAGACCCTATTGCTGTTGATGATGATGATGATGATGATGATGATGATGGGACTTGAAAGTGAAAGCCAGCTGGGCATGGTGGCATCCATGTTTAGCCCGAGCACCCTGGGATTAGGAGGGCAGAGGCAGGTGGATCTCTGTGTGATCAAGGCCTGGTCTACATAGTGAGTTTCAGCAGGGACTACAGAGAGACCCAGGCTCAAAAATAGAATTAAAAAAAGAATAATTACTTATGCGTGAAAATACAAAAACAAAATATAGCAACCGTCTTTACAGGGACTAGAGAGATGGCTCAGTGGTTAAGAGCACTGGCTGCTCTTCCAGAGGACCCAAGTTCGGGTCCTTGCACCCATGTCAGGTGGCTCACAACTGCCTATAGCTCCAGCTCCATGAGATCTGACACTGTCCTCTGGCCTCCACTGGCACCCACACACCCGTGGCATACACACATACACTTAAAATTTTTAAAAATATTTTGGAGAAAGAAAGTAAAAGCCTGAATGAAGTAGCTTCAGTTAATGTCAGGCAGGGAATGAGGATGGGATTAGAAACTAATTGTTCCTTGTTCTTATCTCTGTCTTCCATCCCAACAGCTAAACCACTAGCACCTGAGGAATAATACTTTTATGGAAAACCAGAGAATCTTGATGCAAAAGATGACAATCAGAAAGCCCATTTGGGAGGGAGACACCTTAGCAAATCCACCTGACTCTAAAATATCATCCCTCAAGTAGATTTGGTAATGTGGGTCTGTAATCCCAGAATTTAGGAGACTAAGGCTGGAAGATCCCAAATTCAAGGCCCTCATGGGCTAAATAGTGAGTTAAAGGCCAGCTTGGGTAATTTAGTGAAACCCTGTCTGAAAATTTAAAAAAAGGGCTGGGGTGGTAGAGCACTTGCCTGTGTACTCATTCCTCATTGTTTACTGTGCTTGTGTATTTGGAAGCTTAGATTTGAGGGGTTGTACTTAATTGTTTTAACCTGTTCATAAAGAGTTAAAAACTACAGCCAGGCATGGTGGTGCATGCCTTTAATCCCAGCAGAGGCAGAGGCAGGTAGAGCTCTGTGAGTTCAAGGCCAACCTGGTCTACATAGTGAGTTCCAGAGTTCCAGGCCAGCTGGGGCTACAGGGAGACCCCATATCAACAAGCTAAAAAAAAAGGAGGGGGGCAGGGAGAGGGGGAAGGGGAGGGGGAGGAGCTGCTGCTGATACTGACCCTTGGGGTGTCATGAAACAGGAAAATGCCTGGAAAAGAACACCGCTAGAATATGTGTGAGGGGGTGGTAAGCATAGGCTGGAGAGATGGTTCAGCCAGTAAGAGCACTGGCTGCTCTTACAGAAGACCCAGCTTTGGTTCCCAGAACCCACATAGCAGCTAATGTTCTGTAACTCCAGTTCCAGGGGGGTCTGACAGCTTCTTCTGGCCTCCTCGGGTATTGCATGCATGGGTGCACTTATATACATGCAGGTTAAATACTCATACATGTAGAATAAATTCACTAAGTGGTATCCTTATGACATGAGTCTGTGTTACTCATGAGAAAGGACTAGATTTTACATTATTTTAAAAATCAGCTTTCCTTTGGACTTCTTTGGGGCAAGGGATGAAAAACCCGAAGGACAGTAGATCTCAGGACTCACATAATTTCATTTTTTTTCTTTCTTTTTCTTTTTGTTTTGGCAGCACTGGGGATGGAATCCAAGCCCTCACAAATACTAGGCAAGTGCCTGACTACTGAGCTATATCTTCTGTCCTTTTTTTAAGTATGGAAAGAAATGCATAACTCTACTCTATTCCTGCTTCCAACTCTGCCTTTGTGGGTGTCTGTGGCCCTGGAGATCCCTCCAGGTAGGACTGTTCTAAGATCATCTGGGAACTCTCCCTGACCATCTGCATCTAGCACGGAATCCAGAGACCCATGATTCTGAGCACACAGCCCCTATTATGGTGTCCGTGTGGCCTGAAAGGTTCTTAAATGATGAAGCAGAGTTAGGGATGGGTACTGCCCTCTTTCTCTGCAGCTCTGCCACTAATTTATCTCATGGCCTTCCTTTAGCCCATGGTCTCATGGTACAAAACAGGAAAACATTAGTCTAAATGATTTTTGCAGCCCTTTTATGGCTCTAATCTTACTTAAAACTCTATTTAGCAGTAAGGAATCCTGAAACTGAACTCAGTCCTGAAAGAAAGGCTGACTGTGTGACTCTGTGTCCTTCTGCATTGCAGAGGCTGAGCTGGCCCTATCTGCCTTCTTGGTGCTGGTGTTCCTCTGGCTACATAGCCTGCGGAGACTCTTCGAGTGCTTCTACGTCAGCGTCTTCTCCAATGCAGTGATTCACATTGTGCAGTACTGTTTTGGACTTGTCTACTATGTCCTAGTTGGCCTAACCGTACTGAGTCAAGTGCCCATGGATGACAAGAATGGTGAGTGGCAGCCAAGCGTGGTGGTGCACACCTTTAGTCCCTGCACTTGGGAGGCGAGAAGATCTCTGTGAGATCAAGGCTAGCCCTGTCTTCATAGAGAGTTCCAGGTCAGCTGGGACTACAGGGAGACCCTGTCTTTGAAAAAAAAAAAAAAAATCTATGGACAGATGGATGACTCAGTGGTTAAGAGCACTGGCTGCTCTTGCAGAAGACCCAAGTTCAGTTCCCAGCACTCACATGGTATGTAACAGCAATCCATAACTCCATTTCCAGGGAATCCAGTGTGCTCTTCTGACCTCCACAGGCATTGCACAGCATGGGTGCACTTACATACATGTAGGCAGTACACTACACATTAAATAATTTTTTTTTAATTTTAAAAAAACAATGGTGAGTGGCCCCTGCCATTCAGGAGCACTCTGGTCACAGGCTGTGAGGCACTCTTCAGCAGGATGCTCCATGAGGCTTGCTAAGTTCAGTAGTAGGAGACACCCAGCTCCTTTGCATTAGGAATTTAGAACTCTATTAGTAGGTTTCAAAAGTCAGCATGTCCAAAGGTAGGTAAGTTAAATTCATTGCTGCTAAAACCTTAAGCGGCATGTCTTTAGTGATGATGGTGCACAAAGTGTCCCTGAAGCTCAGATTTAGGATAGAGAAGTTGGTCAGGCCCTGTGGGGTTAACCTGTTGACAGAGGAAGTATAGCTAAGCACTGAGCAAGAGGCAGGAAAGCACCAAAGAGGCAGGAGAGACAGGCAGTAAAGGATAAGGCCTCACCAAAACACATTTATCCCAGGGTGCATAGGGAGATGAGGGGAGGTCCCCATGCAGGCCAAAATCACAGGAGATGAGAGGAGGAAGGTGCTCCTGATTTGAAAAGGCAACAGGAACCATTTTCTTGCCATTAGTTCTTGGGATGGCTACCCTTATAACAAAGTCTTTCTTCATGAGAGGCAGCCTGAGGGAAGAGGGAAATGGAGATTGCCTTAAGGTTTCCAAGTGCTTGCTAGCCAGGAAGGGGGAAGCAAACCTTTTTTTGTGAGAAGGAAGTAAAGATTTCTGTTATATTTAGGAATTAGGGAGCTACCTAACATCTAGGACTAGCAGTTTCATAAAAGCAACATGTATATACAATAAAGAATTCAAATCCTTTTGGGTGATTGAAAAGAGTTTTTTAGTACTGAGGTTAAGTTGACTTTGAAGCCATGGTCTCTTTCGGCCCAGACACTGTGAACCCTCTGTGGCCTGTGGCCATTTTCTCCCAGTCCCACACTGACTGCATTCTAGGTTGAGGCTAACCTATAGATAGTTCTAGCCATCAGTGAATGAGCCTTCTCTTCTTTGATTTTAATCTCAGAGTGCTCTTTAAAGTCCACTCTGTTGCTGTAATACAAGTCCTGTGGCTAGAGGATTTCAAAGTCAAGCTTGTTGAGTTACTTCTCAATTAGTGAATAATTTACTTGCTCCAGCCTCTCAGCCGCCATTTCTTCCTCTAATTTCTCTGGTCTTAATTAAGTCAGTTTTGCTTCCCTGCTCTTTCTACTATGGCATTCAAGCGCTCAGCCACTATCATGATTTTCCACCCAGAGGAACTTTCCAGCACTCTTTGGTTGCACACTAGTTTTTACTCTGTCAGCTTCTAGTGGCCACACACCTCTCTTCTGGAGCTTCCTCAGTGGCTGGAGCCCAGCTTCTTCCTTTTACTCCATGTAAATGATCAAGAAAGACAGACAAGGCACCCACAAAAATTGCTTTACAAATACTCCTTTATGAAGCTGTTTTCTGTTTCACCAACTTACCCTTCAAAAGGTCATCTGGGGTCATTTGAGACAATATGAGTATATGAGGTACTTTCTCATCACCAAGACCAAATACCTGATGAGAAACAGTTTAATGAGAAGAGGTGTCTTTTTCGGCTCACTCCTTAAAGGGATGATAGTCCATCATGGCAGGGAAGGCATAGCGGCAGGAGCATGAGGCTGCTTGTTCACAATTGGGCATGTCAGGCAGCAGAGCAAACAAATGAATGTAGTTTTTTCATTTTTCCTTTTTATTCATCATGAGGTGGTGCCACCTACAGTCAGGGTAGACTCCCTCCCCTCAATTAATCCTCTCTAGAAATGCCCTCTGGCACACTCAAAATGTGCCTCCTTGAAATGCCCTGAGCATTTCTTAATCCAGTCAAGATGACAGTCTAAACTAACTGTCACATGCTGGGACTATAGTTCAGTCAGACAGCACTTGCCTAGCAGTAGGTTTATCTATCTTAGCCAGGCACAATGGCAATGGCTCACAACTGTAATCTAAACACTTGGAGGATGGCTGCAAGTTCAAGGCCATCCTTGTCTACATAGTGAATTGCCAGGTCTACATAGCAAGACCCGATCGATTGATAGATAGATAGATGATAGATAAATAGATAGATAGATAGATAGATAGATAGATAGATGATAGATGAGAGAGAGAGAGAGAGAGAGAGAGAGAGAGAGAGAGAGAGAGAGAGAGAGAGAGAGAGAGAGAGAGAGAGAGAGAGAGAGAGAGAGAGAGAGAGAGAGAGAGAGAGAGAGAGAGAGAGAGAGAGAGAGAGAGAGAGAGAGAGAGAGAGAGAGAGAGAGAGAGAGAGAGAGAGAGAGAGAGAGAGAGAGAGAGAGAGAGAGAGAGAGAGAGAGAGAGAGAGAGATTAAACAAACAACCACAATGGGAAAAGCTGCATTTGCCAGCTACAGGATCTAATAGGAATACTGTAGGCTTGAAAGTCTGCTAGGCCTGTGTCTGCTTTGAACTTCTCTGAGCTGAGGACCTCTGTCAGGGATTAGGGGCACAGACTGACTTACATGGCTCATGTGGAAGTGAACAGAAGGTCTGTACACCGGAACATAAACTCCAGAAGAACCAGGTTTATGTAGAGCATGTTTTTAACAAGAATTGACATCAGTGGACTTTGCTGGATTCTTGCTACTCATTAGCTATCCTCAACTGATTCCCATTTGTGGGTTTCCTCATGGGATAGCATGATCCTTGGTCCTCCTACCTGAATCAGCTTTTTAGGGCTTTTATCTTAGCCCCAGGCTTTGACCAGTTTTCAGTGGAAAACTTTTGCTTCTTCAGAAAAATGACTAGACTGGATGTTCTGCTAATGATAGGAAGACTTTGATTTGCTTTTCCAACACCAATGACTTACTATTGGTGTCCTACAGCATCCTGGTAGGCAGAAAGGAAGATAATACCACCAGCATTTCTCCCTCTAGAATGATCTCTCAGACTGGGTTCTCTCTAATCCAGAAGGGAGTCTCATTTTGTTGCTCACCTCACAGTTTAAGTTTCTCCCCTTTATGAGAAACCCCTCTCACCCTTCATCTCAGATTCTCTCTACTAGCCAGGACTAAGCAGCTCAGCATGCTCTCTGTCTCTCTGTCTCTGTCTCCTGTCTCTGTCTCTCTCTGTCTCTCAAGTGCACGCTTTCACTCTTGCTTTCTTTCTCGTTCTTTGTTTTTGTTTTTGTTTTGAGAGGGTCTCATGTAGCAAGGCTGAGCTTGCTATGTACTTGGTTGGCCTTGAACTCCTGATCCTCTTGCCTCAGCCTCCCAAGTATTGGGAAGACAGGCATGCACATGGTGCCAGGTTTAGCTCAGCTTTCTGTATTCAGGATCTCCCTGGCAGAGCTCCAGATGGCAACTCAGAGAGAAGTTTCTTTAGAGAATGTTTTCTTGACAGGAAAATATGAGCAAGAACTTAAAACAGAACTCAGGAATAGAAACACAAAGAAGTCTCCACACAGGAGATCACATAGGAGATGGGGCTGAGCTTGTCCTCGAGCCTTTGAAGGTTTGAGAGAAAGTGTTGATATAGACGTCTCTGCTGGTGAGCACTGGAGCTGCTGGTGCTGAGAAGCCTCTCCCCCTTATCCACAGGAAATGATGCCAGGATAATATGATTACTTAGTTCTGCAAGCTCTGAAATTCTTCAGAGTTAACTAACTGGATAATTCTTATGTCCGTAGTCTCTGTACTAGGGAAGAATCTACTGATGCAAGCTCGGTGGTTCCATACCCTGGGATTGCTGATGTTCATCTGGTCATCTGCCCATCAGTACAAGTGCCACCTCATTCTCAGCAATCTCAGGAGAAACAAAAAAGGTGAGATCTCTCTGGAGCCTCTGCAGATGGGCTTTAGTGCACAGAGGATGGCTTTCCATGTACCTGTGCTCCTTTCCTTCCAAGTCCGTATCAAATACTCACTTTTGATCCTCCCATTGATAAAGTGAGGCAGCTCTCCCTGCCCCACCTAGCACTGACAATCTGTGATTCTGTCTTGTGTGCATAGCTGGGGATAGTCCTGCTGTTCACGGTATCTAATCAGCATGTGGAGAACTCATATTAATATGAAGTAATGTCATTCCAGCCAAAGCAAAGAAATTTGACTTTCAAGTTAACTTGGACTGACTTATCACAGGGACAGTTTGCATTAGGCTATACAGAATGTTCAAAATGGAATAGTACTAGTTAAGATTATCTACTGGTTATTTGGTCCAGACCCCGAGTGCTTAACATAGAGCTTCACAATACCCAGTAAAATGAGTATCATCTAATTCTTATTCAATAGATGAGGATTTTGGGGGACAATGAGATTAAGTAACCTCCCTGAAGTTGAACATCTAGCTAGTGAGTGAGCAGGTCAGGATTGGAACTCATGCAGCCTGGTTGTGGAATCTGAGCTCTTGTGCACTTATGGCACTGATGGTATAACACCTGAACAGGAGTCTTTTTAATATATAGTTGATGGATAGTGGAAATGTGACGGGATGGTGGTTTCCACACAGGTATGTGATGCTCTTTCTCAGTAGAGTTCTGTCAGTGATGTGGGAAGTGAAGTGGTAAAATGCCATCACCGTTGTGTTTCAGGAGTGATTATTCACTGCCAGCACAGGATCCCCTTTGGAGACTGGTTCGAGTATGTCTCATCACCCAACTACTTAGCAGAGCTGATGATCTACATCTCCATGGCTGTCACCTTTGGGTTCCACAACTTAACTTGGTGGCTGGTGGTGACATATGTCTTCTTCAGCCAAGCCTTGTCTGCATTCTTCAGCCACAAATTCTACAAAAGCACATTTGTCTCCTACCCAAAGCATAGGAAAGCTTTCCTGCCATTTTTGTTTTAAGGTACCTTCTGTGGTGAAGAAAGCAGGCCAGGGGACAGGTTTGATTCCTAGAGATGCAAAGCCAGAGACCAAAATACACTTTGTGCAGGACTGTCGGAAGTTCTCTGTTCCACTTCAACACTGAGAAGTCTTCCCTGAAAGAGCAAGGCAGTGCTCCTAGAGAAGACGAGTCTTCAGAATGGCTTGGAGAAGATATTTCTGGGAGACCTGGGGTTGCAGTGTCTGCTTTCTGCCATGCTTTACAAGGAAAAGCAGCTGGTAAAAACTAAATCAGTGTTTTAAGCTGCCTCAAGAGCACACTAACCAAGAGTATGAACAGCTTCACACACATGTGCTCGTTCTCGCTCTAGCAGTCTCTCTCTCTCTCTCTCTCTCTCTCTCTCTCTCTCTCTCTCTGAAACAAGCAAGATCATCTGCAGCTGGCCTAGCTTGTTTTGGAACAGTGAACGAGACTGAATAATATGGGATATAGCAGGAAGTCAGTAAATGCCACATGTGAATAAAACAGAATAACCTTTGAAAATAACAGTGTCTAATATCACACCAACAGTTCCAGTGGTTCTAGGGAGAAGGAGTTTGTTGGATTTAGTTTGTACTCCACACATTACCACCAGGATCTCCAATTATGTCACCATCAATAGCCTTTGCCATTTATCTCCTGCAAAGCAGCCTAAGGATAAGTTGGGAACCTCTTTGACTGGATTCTCTTTTGACACCTGTACTGAAAGCATCAGGAAATAAAATATTTTTATACTTATATGTAAAAAACCTTCTTGAACTGCCATGCTCTGGATCAGGTAATACTGAATGAAAATGCCTCACATCTCCCCAAGTCTATTTCAACTAATAGAACAAAACCCAAAATATTTTTAATAGTTTATTTTATTTTATGTGTATGAATGTATTGCCTACATGTATGTAAGTGCACCCACATCATGCAGTGCCTTCAGAGGTCAGAAGAGGGAGTCAGATCCCCTGGAACTGTAGTTAAGGATAGTTGTCAGCCACCATGTGGGTGCTGGGAATCAAACCCTGGTTCTCTGCAAGAGCAGTCAGTGCTCTAAACTTCTAAGCCACCTCTCCAGCCCCAAAACCAAAAATATTTAGAAATAAAGTTTGCACCTAAAGTAGCTTATGTTAAAGAAAACATAACATCCAAACCTCCACATTCATACAGCACCACATTTTCCGGGGCTGGGGATGCAGTGCAGTAGGAGAGTGTTTGCCTGGAGTGTATAAAGCTCTGGAAACAATTCCTTGTAGCAAAAGAAAAAACTTGGGCGTACTAATCTAAGGAACTTTTTTGTAAAGACAGGGTCTTATGTAGCCCAGGCTGCCTTGAAGTAATTGTGAACTAGAGGATGACTTTGAACTGCTGATTCTTCTGCCTCCATCTCCCAAGTGTTGGGATTGCAGGTATGTGCAACCCAGTGATTCGGATTGAACCCAGGGCTTCACACATGGTAGGCAAGCACTCTGCCAGCTGAGCTATATCTCCAGCCCCGAATTTACTCTTTAATGCAGATGCCATATCTCTGCTCAGTAGTTCAGACGTATGTGTACCTGACTGTGGGGGAAAGAACCTCACTTTGACACATGCTAAATGCACAGTCTAAGATTATGTTCCCCCATCTCCATCCCTGGAGTCATAAACTAAGGCTGTTAAACTGAGAGGCCTTTTAATCTAACTTACTTATAAATTTTATTTATTTTATATGTATTTATCTTGCAGTATTGGGAATTGAGCCCAAGTCTTCACAAGTGGTAAGCAAGCATTCTACCACTGAGCTATCATCCTAACCCTTTTAATCTAACTTTAAGTAAATAATACCGAACCTTACCCTAAAGCTCTTATGTTAATTCTGATGTCATGTTTTCTTTCCCATTAATCAAATATCACTTAGTCATGATTAATCCAGTGTCCTGTCTATTTAAATGGAATATTCATTTCATTTAGTACTTGGATTTGCTATCTTCAGTACAAGACTCAGGAACAGGACTCTTTGGATTCTCTTTATCAGGAAATAAAATTACATACATTGGAAATGTAAAGCATATGGCAATTTGATCTTAATTCCCACACAAGTAGCATGGATAATTTTATTATTTAGAGGAAAGTTGTATTTTGCCTTAGGATGCAAATTTTTATTTTTTGAGAATTTCATACATGCATACAGATTTATATAATTTCCACCCCTTTCCCTCTCTCCCATTCAACTCCCATGACTTCCTCTAGTCCCTCTCAATTTTATAGCCTCTTTAATTTTTATTTTTACATACATACATGGCATACACACATACAAACATACACAGCCTACCAGGCCTATTTAGATAGTGTCTTCTAGACATGACAGGGAAACTGTACCCATGAAATCACAACAACTTGGCTGCCTAAACAAGACTTACATGATGACACCACTAGTTGACATACCAACATGAATGGGAGAGACTTCCCAAGGCCCCACCTCTAGATGAAGAGCTACAGGCAAGTAATGGCAGCTGAGAGTGGGAATCAGTTTTCTGTAGGGATGAGCTCCTTGATAGGCTATCCAATCTCAAGTCATCAACCCTAAACACACACACACACACACACACACACACACACACACACACACACACACACATAGGAGAATGCAATTTTAAAATGGGAGGGGGTTTTTTTTATTTTAAGTATGTGTATGACTGCTTTGCCTGCATGTATGTGAGTGCACCGCATGTGTGCAATGCCTATGGAGACCAGATGAGGACGTCAGATCCCCTGGAACTGGAGTCACAGACAGTTGTGAGCCACCATGTGGGTGCTGGGAACTGAACCCAGTTGCTCTGCAAAAGCAGCCAGTGCTTAGCTGAGCCATCTCTCCAGCCCCAGAGGATGCAATTTATTTTATTATTTTCAATTTTTTATATGTGCATAAGTATATTGCCTGCATGTATGTAAGTGTCCCCAGGTCAAGCAATGCCTTCAGAGTTCAGAAGAGGGCATCAAGCCCTCAGGAACTGAAGTTACAGATAGTTGTTAGCCACCATGTGGCTTCTGAGAACCAACCCTGGGTCCTCTGGAAGAGCAGCCAGTGCTCTTAACCTCTGAGCCATCTCTTCAGCCCCAGAGGATGCAATTTTAAACCTAGGTTTGAATAAGGATTTCTCCAATGTTCTAGATCTTGTACTTTGAGGTAAAATAAAGAGCATCTCCTGTGAAGGACCCTGTCAAATTATGAGAAAGTTGTCCAGTTTCCTCTTCCCGGTCCCTGCTACCTTGCTATCTCTTGCACACTATTCCCTTTATCTTTCTTCACCCTTTTCTTCCTTGCCCAAACATCTAGGTGAAGATTAAATAGGAAATAGGGAAGTGCTCAAAAGAGCTGGGATGTAGTTCAGTTGTTAGAGCACTTGCCTAGCTTGCACAAATCCCTGAGTTTGATTGCCAACACTGCATAAAACTAGGTGTGGTAGTGCATGCCTGTAAACCCAGCACTTGGGAGGAGGAGGCAGGAGGATCAGAAGTTCAAGGTCATCCTTGGCTACATAGCAAGTTCAAGGCCAGCTTGGGCTACATGAGAACCTCTCTCAAAAAAGAAAAAGGGGATGGGTGGGTAGGTGTGGGTAGGTGTGCATGTGCACTCAGGATAAAGTTGGGTATTGGGTATGAGCCCCGCCAATGGAACATACCTGAGAACTGAACTGTGTCTTCAAAGGCAGAATCAGCACTGTGTTTTTGTGCTAGTGAAAATATTCCAAAAGGGGGACTGGAGAGATGGCTCAGTGATTAAGATCACTGGCTGCTCTTGCAGAAGACCCAGGTTTGGTTCCTAGCACTCACATGGCAGCTAACAACCATTGGGAACTCCAGTTCCAGGGGATCCAATGCCCTCTTCTAGCCTCTGCAGACATTGCATGACAGAGATGCACTTATGCGTATAGGCAAAACACTCATATATAAAAAAAGAAAAAAAAATTTTTAATGTTCCAAAGGGGAGAGTGCCATACAGATTTGTAAATTGTTCACAAGAATGACTCAAAGAACTTGAAGGTGACAACTCTTCACTTTCCTATGATACAGTGACAAGACCATGAACTTGGGGATGTGATACTGAACTACCTCAGAACAGCATTCCCTGGATTGACTACGGACTGTAACAATATGCTGGAAATTGTGTTTTGGATAAGACTCCGAGTTGTAACTCATCCTTTATTCTAAGATTTGCTTTTGGCGAATATGGATTATTTTGTCTCCATAATGTGCTTTGTGTGATTTTTTAATTATTTCTAGAATCCCTGTTATGGTAGAATCTAGAAATGTCTGTCACAGGTTCCTATATAAAGGGTTGGTTGCCAGTGAATGGGTTGTTAAGAGATGGTTGGATCATCTTTAATTCCAGCACTCAGGAGGCAAAGGCAGATGGATCTCTGTGAGTTCAAGGCCAGCCTGGTCTACATAGTTCCAGGCCAGCTGAGGCTATGGAGAGACCCTGTCTCAAAAAAAGACCAAAAAGAAAAAAAAAAACAGATGACTATTGATAAAAATCTATTGATGAAATCCTTAACTGAGTGGACTATTAATGAGCAGGACCAGGCTGAAGGAAGCTGGTCACTGGGGACATGCTTTTGAAGTGTTTATCCTGTTTGTTGGCAGTGTCTCTCTGTCCTCTCTCTGCTTACTGGTTCCTATAAGGTGAACAACTTTCCTCTGCCATGGCCTTCCACCATAGTGTTTCTGGCTTGCTGTCATGAAACTTGGAGATGTAAAGAAACATCTATTGCCAGGTGTGGACCATGCCCTTTAATCCTCACACTTTGGAGGCAAAGTCAGACATCTCTGTGAGTTCAAGGCCAACTGGGGTTACAGTAACACCCTGTCTCAAAAAAAAAAAAAAAAAGCCAAGACATCTATTCACCCCAGATAGAGAAGAAGGTACCAATAGACCAAAGAAACAATTCTGACCTTGTCTAGCCTGGTGAGCCAGTGGGTTTGGGGAGGCTGCTTAGAGGGTCATGGGTAATTCAAAGGCAGCTACACCACAGGAAGTCCCCTGGGCAGCTTGCAGCTATACCACTGAAAAGTCCTACCTATGGTATGGACAACTCACAAATAGTTGCAATTTGAAGACTCCCCCAGAGAATTTATGAGCAGTTGTACTACCAAAGAATCTCCTCCCCACAAGCAACCATTTAACGGCTACATGATCTTAGGGAAGGGAGTGCCCTTGTGGGCCTCATGAGTCTGGTGAACATCTTCCCTGGCTTCCATGAGGGAATGTTAATAGATCCAATCCAATGAGGATCTCATGTGGGTGATGACAGTTGTTCTGATTTAAAATGGCATTGATCACATCCAACCCAGAGGATAAAGCTACATAATACCCTTACCTCCTGCTCTTACATTCTTTCTACTTCTGATGCAATGTTCCTTGAATCCTGGAGGGGGTGATAAGGTGTATGATTATTTTCTTCTCCTAACATTGAACCACCCCGCCACAGTAATGGTCATTTATTCTTAGCATCGTGGTTAGTTATGAGTTTCCACAGTAACTACTACCCATTGCAAAGAGAAGATTCCTTGATCAGGGCCAGCAGTAGTGACAGTCTATGGGCATAAACATAGATGTTTAGAAGGCAATAAGCACAGCACATCCATTTAACAAAGCAGTAGTAGCCACCCTCCCCATTGGAGCCTATGACCTTCAGCCACAGGCTTTTACCCTGGTTTATAGTATCAAATATGAGTTCCCTTTGTGGAATAGATCTTATATCCAACTG